ATTCACGCTACAACTTAGACGGCAACGGAAGGAACTTCAAGGAAGCCCTGTGCAAGATCTCCTACCAGAAGCATGACAAACTATGCGAGATCCAGATCGACGAGGACTACGGCACACGCGCCAAATCCACCACAGAAAATAGGAGAACGAATCTCATCTCAATGACCCGTCCACAACGCAACATTGCAACAGGCTCAGAGCTATTGCAACTAACCAATGACTTAGCAGACGCCATACACGCATCAGGCGCATCAACACTTCGCCCACCTTAGGCCGCGTGCATAAGGGAAAAGTAACGCAACATAACGCGCTACCATCCAAATACGACCAACCTGAATTCGAGAACTTCATGACGCGAAGGACTACGAGTGCAAAGTAAATTGTGGACGATTGGACAGGCTCGTTACGCGAAAGACCCGGCCACTTCCCGCCCCGCAGACCCACGCCACCCACGCACTACTGACTGACCTCGCCAACGGCTACCAACCCCAGGTGGCCCCAAACGCTATGCCACTTAGCCCCAACACCACTTACTGTAATACACCCCAACGCGCACCTTATCCAACAACGACGCAGCCCCAACTTCATCCGCCCACAACCTACGCCAGAAATGCCCCAACCCCAGCGGTCAACAAATCCGATTCAGCCTTCCAAGGAACTCACCTCACTACCAAAGACGCAGTCATCACACCCACGAACGTACCACGCGACCATCCACGCTGCAACTTTGTTCAAGGCGAGCTTGCACAACAACGCCAATCATAACAACAGACAACACGAACGCGACAACAACGCGCGACTGACATGTACAGGCCACATGCCTGTAATTCCGCCGCAGCAGCGTATGCCGAACTTGGTTTCCAGGCTCAAGCGAACAAGCCGAGACAGACCGCCGCCCGAGGTCAGCCACGAATACACGCCGCCGCCTGATGCACAGATAACCAAGACACCGACACAGCCAGCGCCGCAACAACAACCACAACCGCCACCTCCCACAATCCATGGGGGCATCTCCAAGACAGCCTTACTGAACGAGTTTGCGACACAAACGGCTCCGACAGCAACGCAGTCGAAAACGACCCCTGGGCCAAACTTGACGGCGCGGCCGACGCGCAGGAGTGCTATCTCATATCGGTACCTCCACATAAAGGACTCGACATGCACTGCCAGTGGCTGGACTGCCTACTCCTACTATGCCAGTGACGCAGACACCAGTAGCTACGAGGGCGACCGATGGCATTACACAGCCTACTACCACGAAACCACCAACACCGACACGTACCGATTCCCAAATGACAATCTACTACTATGAGCTCAACAAGTTCAATGACGAGCTCTTCATACACCGAGGTCAACAGCAACACCTCCCACATCCTCCACTAAAACCCGACTCTCAAGCAATGCCACTCTCGACTTTCCAGCTACCGCGCACTAGCCGAGCCGCGTACCTTAAACTCACGGGCGCTATGCACGCCGACGCGTTCCTGCCGCCATACAGACCGACGCTCGACCAACCGAAGTTCCGACGCGGCAGCGATGCGCCAGCACGTGCCGGCCACGATCGCAACAATGCAGCAGTCAGACTTGCAATAACCACCATAAATCAACACTTCCACTCACTGCTCACGGCAGCCCTGCCCCACTGAATCACAACAAATCCAAGGCCATCCAGGAAGTCGCGCACTGGCTCAACGCGTGCCGCGACGACAACGATAACATGAAGTGCGGCTGGGCGGTCAACATCTACGAATCGACTGCTCTTTTAAGCAATATTTGCAAGCCGACGGCTGCTCACAGCACCGCCAGACCCACGCAGCCGACGTCCACCACCAGCTCAAGCGACGATGACATTCCGACCGCCACTCACTCGACGAGCGACAGACCTGACACAGGTCCAACCCCACCGCCACCGACGCACGCGAATTCCACCTGCCAAAAAACGCAACCGCAGCGCGCCACGCCAACTGCTTAAAAAAATTCCAGCGCAAAGGTCGACGTCGCACACCGCAACCATCGACGCGATCGTAATCGCACCAAGAGCACCTCCCACAAAGGCCCTCACCACATGGCCACTCACACCACGACTCACCACGCCGGTTCACCCACCGCCACCGACTCTCAGGATTCAAAGTGTCTGCCCACCCATCGGACTTGTAAAGACACAACAGTGGACGCAAGACATTGCGCCGCACCACCAGGCACCACAGACATACGCCACTAGACAGGTATACTGTCTAACCCAGGCACCACCTGGAACTCAGATCCATACTATCTTCGCACAACACAACGGGATCAACAGCCGCGGACGCACCTTCGCGCGTGACATCGGCGATCTGCGGTTCAAGGAATACATTGCCATCGTGCGCGCGCACCAAGCACAGTGCGAGGAACGCCCCACCGACGTCCACACTCGCAATCTCCAGCACGGCATACCTTTCAAAGAAACACTGCCGAGCAAGCCGTACCCACTCCTCTCCAAATCACGACCGAAATCCAAACGACAACATACCAATCCAGTCGACGGCAGCAACATCAAGTAACAAGCACACGACCACGCGCAGCTCTGACGAAAATGACGAATCGGACGGGAATAGGGCAGAGACTGCCGCAACATCCACCACAAGCTCCACCTCGTCGCCGATTACAGCAAAACTTCAATGACTGACTTCTTCTCCTCCCTGTCCTGACACAACTTGAGTCTACGAGCCCAGTGGCAGCACTTTGACATGTACTCACCCCGCTCCTCCCAGGTCTGGTTGCACGTTTATGCTGCGTCGTTCTCGTCTTCTACTTGCTCGCCCCCTTCCCTCTCGCGTTCCAAAAGGTCAGGTGACCAGCCAAGCGTGACTGCTTGCCTTCCCCTCGCCCCAGGGGACCGTACCGTGCCGACTGTTGAGGACAACATCTACCCTGGGCGCCCCTCGGATGCGCAGGGCTCCTGCTCCCCACTCTGTCGGTTGCACGCGGACCTTTCTCACCCACCTCTTACCCATCGTTGCTGATAGCTTTACTCCCGCTCCACGCCGCAAGGGTCGCAGCCCACGGGTTGCACGCTGCTTTTTTTTCGCATGCACCAGGCATTGTTTACAGCAAGCAGCTGTAAACAATGCCTGGTGCATCGCGTGACCTTTGTGCAGCGCTGCTTGTTCCATTCCTGTTCCCGCCTGGGTCGCAGCCCAAGCGTTGCATTTGCTTTTTCGCGCCTAATCCAAGCACGGTTCCATCATGGGAATGGGTTACATGAAGAGGGGGGGGGGAGGACCGCTCCGTACCGCAAGGGTCGCAGCCCAAGGTCTGCGCTGTGCTCTTTCTCGCCTATCCCAGGCGCTGTTTACAGCAAGCCCGCAACATGCCAATATTCACTAGCCTCGTACGCCGAGCATCTTCCGTACAAGCCAGCCTAACGGGCCAGCCTTAGCCGTGGCAGCCGCCCAACGCCATGTGATACATGTTGCCTCTCGCCTTGCTCTCCTGCGTTCGGGCCCTCATATATCTACCTCCTACAGTCGCCTGCGCATCTCTGCCGCCTCTAAGTGTAGCGTGCAGCACAAGCATTTGGACCAGAGGGGATTACTCAAGGTGGGGAGGAGGGGGGGGCGCTCCACACACAACGGTCGCAGCCCAAGGGTTGCACTGTGCTCTTTCTCGTCCACGCTAAGCATTGCTCACAGCAAACCAGAATTGCTGAAACTGGCCTCGTGCACCAAGCTTCTTCCGCACATGCCAACCGAAAGGGCCCGGCTTACCAATGGCAACTACCCCACGCCTCTTTATATAGTTTGTCACCCGTGTTACTCTTGCTCAAGACAACACGCATCCCATCATTGTATTGCATTTCGTGTCATAGTACCTTCTGCTTCTCTGACTCACTTCGTCTTCCAGTTTACCTGTCTGCGTGCCGCCACACTCTACATCACAGGTCATCCTAACAGGCCAGCCTTACCTTTGGCAACCACCCGGCGCCGCTTTTCAACTTGCCCCCCACCTTACTGTAGCTCAAGGAGCCAGCTATTGCGATGTTACCAGTGGACTGATGGGTCGGGGCTGGGTTACGATGGAGGGGAGAAGGTGGACCGTTCCACACCACAAGGGTCGCAGCCCAAGGATTGCACTATGTTGAATTCGCCTGCCCTAGGCACTGCTTACAGCAAGCCAACTGTTTTAACATGTGCCAGCCTTGTACACCAGGCATTCTCCGTACAGGCCAACCTAACAGGCCAACCTTCGAAGTGGTAGCTACCCAATGCAGTTTTACACAATTTGCCTCTCGTCCTACTCTTGCTCAAGGCAGCACGCATCATTATACTCAGTGCCATGGCACAACACTCATGGTCTGTGCCCATATTTCCTGTTTCTCAAGCTCGATTCGTCCAATTATTTGCCTGTTTGGCTGTCACCACGCTCTTCCACACAGGCCATCCTGTCACCCGACGCTTTTTTTAACACAAGCTTTGCCTCTCATAACTTATTTTTCTCATTGGATCTCCCTTCTTCTCTCACTTCGGGACCCCAGGGCGGGCCCAAATGGTAGGTATTCTCTGGCAATCACAGCCACGCTTCTTACTTTAAAATCGGAGACAGCGTGTACCTACTATATTCGGGAAAGGCCTTACTTGGGGGTGAAGAGGAAGAGGTGCAGGAGACACACTAAGGTACTTGCTAGCCTTACGTGCCATGCGGGCGCCTACTTCCTGCTCAACGCTGTTCCGCCGATCTTCTCTTACCAGCTGCTCCGCGGCGCCCGCCAGGTACCTTGAGACAAGTTGTGGTTTGCCTTGCTTTGCTTCCTGTCTTGCACGCGACAGCTTCCAGAACGCCACATGCTGGCGCATAAGGTCCGCGCAACGACGTCAAGAAAAGGGAGGAGGAGGGAACCTGTACGAGAGACCTTGCATGTGCGGCGATCTCCAGTCGCCTGGTTACCGACAAGGAGCTTGTGCCGACGCGTCGCTGGGAGGGGGAGGAGGAGGAGGAGGAGGAGGAGGAGGAGGAGGAGGAGGAGGAGGAGGAGGAGGAGGAGAAGCACGACGAGACATTCCTGCCTGCAGTTGACGCCCTGGCCGCCACTGGTACCGCGCTCGGACGGGCCGGCCGCGGCCTCACGCCCTGCGTGCTCCCGAGGCGTCTGAGGCCTCCTCCCCGGCGCTGGCCTCGGGCACAAGGCCGAGGAGGGCGAGCGGGAGCAGGCCGCTCACGTTGCAGACGAGGGTGAGCACGGCCAGGTTCTGGAAGTCGCTCTCCTGGGCAGCCACACGGTGGGCTCCACACACCCAGGGGCCAAACACCTGGCCATCTCCTGGGGGACCGACTTTGACTTCCGCCGGCCTCCGTGCCGAGCTTCCGCCGGCGGAGGCGGCCTCGTTCTGCTTTCACCGCCTTCCGCCGAGGAAGAGGTATCGACTCCTTCGATTCTCAAAGGCGAAGCCCTTGTCTAAATGCCTCACATGTGAAACCTAATTTCGGATGTTGCCAGTAGTGTCTCTAGCCCAAGGCGTCCACAGGATTTCCAAGGAGGTCTCCACGGCCTCCAAGGCACCCCCTGCGAGGCCCAAAGGGTCCAACGGGCTCAAGATGGACCGCAATGCTGGGGACACCTAGGGCAAGGGACATCTTTAGTAATCCCTGATTGCATCTGCAGGTCGGCTTTCTGAAACGCCGGCTGGGGTTCAGACTTAAAGGATGCCTGCAGCCAAGTGAGCCCCAGCTGAGGGGTGCAATGCCGCTGGGATCCGCAAGGGTAGGGTCCGCAATTGGTCGCAACTCTCCGTGACGTGGAAGAGGTCTGTCAAAATGGATCCGAGGAAGGTGGCGCAGAAGCCTGACAGATTCAATACCGCCATCAGGAAGGCGAACAAGGTGGCCTCAACCCCGGGTGGGCAAATGCGGGCTGCCAACACCAGAATCGGCATGTGCGCCAGCTCTCCGGCCACTGTCTGAATGACGTCGTCGCCAAGCACGAATGCCTCATCTGGGATGCCCAGCACCAAATTCATCCGTGTGATACTCGGTGGCGAGTCCAAGGGGGAAGTGAGAGGGGGCAGGCCGTTTTAGACGGCGGCGGGGCTTCCCAGAAGCCCTCACGTCTTATGAGAACCCGTCTGTGTCTTCGGACAAAGCTTAGACAACTTCTCAAAAGGCTGGAGGGCTTCTAAGCAACCCTGCCGCGTTCTGAGAAGACCTGCCCCCTATCACTTCCCCCCGTGGGCTAGCCGCCGAGATGAGCAGCAGGGGTAGAAATCCGATCGCGACGGCAACGATGTTCACCCAGAACATGTACGTCTTGATCGGGACCGCTGACAAAGCTCCATTGTACAGGGCGATTCCCGCAAAGCTGGAGAGGGCGCCCACGAGCTGGGCCCGGCCCAGAAATTCCGGGCTCAGCTTGACCTCGTTAGTCAGGAAATCCGCCGCCGCGCTGCAGGCACGGGGTGGAGCGTCTCCAGGCCTACCTGGGTGTCCTCCATGTTCTAGTACGGTGAAAATATTGAAGAAGGAATCCAAGGTCTGGAAACTGGTGCTACACCACCTGAGGCCTGGTCATGGGTATCGCCGCCACTCTCATCACGGTCTGAAGCCTTCTGGGCACATTCCGCAACGAATGCCCCAATCGTGAAGCGAGATAACCCAGACCACAAGCTTCTGGGATCTGACAAACGCTTGTGCGCGCTCGCGGGGTCGATCATGTGGTTTTCTCGAATCCTCGGGAACTTTGCTGGGGACCCCAAAAAACAACATCCGGGAAGACGAATGGTCTCTTTTTTGTCTTTCTGTGAAACAGCGGTTTTGGCAGACAGCGGTTTTGGCAGCTCTGTGGGGCCTGGCCAGCCAAAGTGCGATCGTCTTTATGATTTTATACTGCGCGCCTGGTCGGTTCTGGGAACGTCTTCGGCGGCCCAAGAAACCTCAAACATCGCCCCACTACAGCCTCCAAGCTCCATAAACGGCTCAACTATGCTCCCCAAGCGACCCCGCGAGGGGAAACTCAAACTGGCCCCAGGCGCCCTCTGCTCACAGCTCGCCCCACGCCAGTAAACTCCCTGTACGTAGGCTCCCCAAAAGGCCCCCACGAAACTACAAAAGGCCCCCAACAGGCCTCCAAGAGGCCCCCCTGGTGGCTTGATGTGCTGAAGACCGCCATCACAATCGTTCCCTGTGGCCTGCCACATGGGGTGCACAACGTGACAAGCGGCTTCTGTTCATTGCTTGACATGCTGGTGCGGCGTAGATCGGAGGTGCCCTTCTCGGCGCGCGGAGTCCGGTTCAATGTGTCGAGAGTGGAACTGTGTAAACGTGGGGCGGACAGCTTCGGGCTTGCCCCCCCCCCCACTTGAAGTTTTACATGGCTGGGCGGAATGGAACCTCGACTGCGGCGAACCGCGTGGCGCTTCTTCCAAGCACTTTCCGAATCAGGTTCGGAAGTTCGCTCGGAACAGGAAGGTCGGTCCGAAGCGACAGACAAGTGAACGGTTCGCCCGGATTTCCTGGAAGAACATGTCCGAAACCAAGGCGACGACGAGGAGGTTAGGACAGATAAATTTGTCGAGGGGCCGAAGTTCGCGGGTAGACGAAGAGGCTGAAAGCGCAGGGCAGGGTGGCCGAACTGTGCCAAGAGTGTGTAACATCGAGCGCGAAGCGGGCGGGGCGGGCGGGCGGGCGAAAGAGCGAGAGAGGTCGAGTCGGCCAAAGTTGGGGAAGTGGGAATCTGGGGGGAAGGGGGGGAGATAGGAATGGAAACGCGCGCGGCGGGTGACAGTGCGGGGCGCGCGCGGTCCGCGCCCGCAGGTTCTGCGACGCCAGATGCCCCCATAGAGGTCCCCGACAGAGCGTGCCAAGGCGGCCCTGGGCGGCAACGTCGGCCAAGGCTTTCTTCAGCCCCCCATTGAGGCCCCGCATGGCCCGAGCAGCTTTCCGAGGCGACCCCGCAGCGCAAGCTCCGCATTGCCCTGATCAACAAAACTTGCTTGGGTATCCTATCTGCGTGAATTGATTGGGATACAGGGCTATTTGGCTTCAGATCCAGCCGCGGCGACGAAGAACCGCCCCGTGGCCCCAATGCAACGAAAGGCATAATGAAGCCTCACTCCTTCAAGCCGAGCCATGCAATGGCTTTCGCGCCATGGCAGAAGCCGGAGGCGGCGTTTGACATGAGTCGGGCACCTTCGGGACTCCGTCGGCGATGCGGAACTGGTGAAAACAACATTCATCACAACTCAACGAAACCAAACGGAACCTTGCATTGTTCTCAACAGTGAAAACCCTGGGCCCTATTCCTGGCGCCCTCCGACTGTCTGGGCCATTCGACGACGGGGCGGGCGTTTCGCCCAAGATTGTTTGTGTGAAAGCCGTGGAACCGGCATGACTGGCCCCCGTAGCCCGAAAAGGCAATAGAAATATAGGACAGGTCATCACCATCCCAGAATCTTGCCACTTGTCATCCACCAGCCAGAATCTTTAGCAATGGCAGACCTGGACCCTGGACCCCTGCTGGAATCAGCGCGCGCCAAATCTTGAACCGCATCCAGCCGCACCGGGCACCACCCCCGAAAATTCAAGAACCGTATCAAGCTTTTAACCCTGATCTTCGAAAGTGGAACAACAACGCGACGGCGGCGACGGCCGCGGCCAGCGCGGTGCCTCCAAGGTCCCCGCCAGGGTACCCGCGCGCGCGCTCGCGTGCGGCCGCAGCAACTGCCGTCGACGGCGAGGAGGACAAAGACGACGAGTACGACGGCGAGGACAAGGACGACGACGACGACGACGACGACGGCCACCCTCGAGGTCACGTGAGATTCGGGCGTAAATGTCACATTGTAAACCATGGGGACATTTCCGTCGTCGCCACGGCTAAAAGCAACTCGAGCCCTGACGCTTCGCGGCTGGAGACATACCAGCAGAACCGTCGCCGACATGGTCGCTGAGGAGGAGGAGGAGGAAGAGGAGGAGGAGGAGGAGGCAGGGAAGGAGGAAAAGGAGGAGGAGACGGAGGAGGAGGAATACCTGTGCAAACCCAAGACCCATAAGCGATATTCAAAGTCACCACCTTCCAAACTCGCTCTTCATATGCCCCTGCAAAGCTATATTTTCACTGAAGAACCGATTCTGACGCGTGCCAGAACACCGTTCTCGTAACTCCAACGCCACGACTCGACCTGACTGCTGCGTCTTGACGATCCTGAATCGTTCCAAAATGCCTTTCCTGGGACTTCAACACCACGAATCAACGTGACTGTTGCGCCCGGACAATCCCGAATCGTTCCAAAACAGCACCTTTGCTGCGCTATCCCTTGGAATCAGTGCGACGGTTGCACTGTTTTAGAACGCAGTTGCGCAGCGCTGATGGGTACGCATGTTGAAAAGGAGCCGCTCTCAACCCGTGAAGTTCTTGCAATTTGTTTGACGAGTGCGTGCGGCCCAACGGCGAGAATCACATGTTGAAAACGGCCCGCTTTCAGTCCATGCAGCTCTTGCAGACTTGTATAAGGAAGGTGCGTGGCGCTGGAAGCGGCCCGCCCTCCATCTGTGCAGTTGTTGCCATACGCTGCAATACCATGGATGGTGAGGGAGTCTCAAACAAAACGGCCAGACGGCCCTTCCGACGGGCCTCGGGGTGCGATAGGGAAGAACTCTTTGGAGCGAAAAAGAATCAAAGAGGAGGAGGAGGAATAGGAGGAGGAAAAACAGGATAATGAGGAGCAGGAGGATTTCCCAGATTTCCACCATCAGAAGAACGACGCAAGCGGAGCTCAGGTTTTGGGGAACTCGCCACGAAACATTATACCAAGATGCTCGCGGCGCGTCCCCGATATGGGTAAAACGCATGGCTCTGCTAGACATCTGAGCTGGTCTTGGCCGTAGAAGCCACGTGTGCGACATAATCGCAATCGAAGTACCTCATGAAAGTACAGAGCGTGCGAGGGGTGGGCCCAACCTCCAGCGATGTGTAAACGTCGTCCCCGAAGGAACCGCAGCACCTTACCGTCGACAGCCTCAAGAGGCACACGTTCGCTTTTAAGCCACGCACGCGCCCATCCTCGGCCAGGACGCGCGGGGTCGCAAAGCGTGCAAGCGCATGAGGGGCAGGAGGTGGTGGTGGTGGTGGAGCCGTCGGGGGCCATGTCCGATCCGCTTGCAGCACGTCGGACCCCTAGGAAAGATATGGAAGCAAACAAGGATGGGGCCTTTGCCTGCCCCCCCCCCCCCGCCGCCCACGGCGAACGCCGCGGCCTCGTGCTGCAAGCGCTGCCGCTTCGGCAGAGGCTCCCGTCGCAGATTTTATACATCAGAACTCGGGGGGTGGTGGGGTGGGGGGGGTGGGGTGGGTGTGGGGTGGGTGTGTGTGGGGGGGGGGGGGGCTTCATGGGGCGAGCCGCACACCCCGTGCTGCTGAACCTCTGGCCTCGTGAAGCCTGGGAGGAACAAAAAAAAGAAATTATCCTGGCGAAAGACCCAACCATAAGCAATTGTTGGTAACGCGTTGTGGGTGCCGCTTTCGGTGGGGCTCCATATGGGGCCACGAAGCGCTGCCTTGGATGGGGGAACCGCATGCGGACTGCGCCACCGGGGCGGGGCCTTCGCTCTTGCGATCTCTCCCTATGGGGCTACGAAACGCTGCCCTGGGTGGGGGAACCGCATGCGAACACCCCCACTGGGGCCTTCGGTGGAGCTCCCTATGGGGCCACGAAACGCTGCCCTGGGTGGGGGAACCGCATGCGAACACCCCCACTGGGGCCTTCGGTGGAGCTCCCTATGGGGCCACGAAACGGTGCCCTGGGTGGGGGAACCGCATGCGAACACCCCCACTGGGGCCTTCGGTGGAGCTCCCTATGGGGCTACGAAACGCTGCCCTGGGTGGGGGAACCGCATGCGAACCCCCCACTGGGGCCTTCGGTGGAGCTCCCTATGGGGCCACGAAACGCTGCCCTGGGCGGGGGAACCGCATGCGAACACCCCCACTGGGGCCTTCGGTGGAGCTCCCTATGGGGCCACGAAACGCTGCCCTGGGTGGGGGAACCGCATGCGAACACCCCCACTGGGGCCTTCGGTGGAGCTCCCTATGGGGCCACGAAACGCTGCCCTGGGTGGGGGACGAAACGCTGCCCTGGGTGGGGGAACCGCATGCGAACACCCCCACTGGGGCCTTCGGTGGAGCTCCCTATG